TAAATAAATTGAGCTAGGGCAAACCAAGCTTCCAGGATTGGAATGACCCAGTCTGGGACAGGAGGCAGTAATGGAGGCTAATGACCTTGGGCTTGCAGTTAAAGACCCACATGTTATCCTGGCTAAATCCTTAGGGACCAGTCTACCAGCTGTCTTCTCTATCCCCTGGTGTTTGCTTCAGGGGAGGCTCAGCAGCCTGGGGAAGGTCTAGGGTCTAGACCTGCACCTCACATATCAGTGTCTCCACACTCAAAGAGGAAGTGCTTGCTGAACCCCAGGTGGGTTATGTGTAGTCCATGAAGCCTCAGGCAAAAGCAGGGGAAGAGCAATCATGTGAGACTTCCAGAACCACAGCTAAGACAGGACTTCTTCCATGGGGGATTCGTTGTGCAGGGTCCCAGAATCTTAGTATATACAGAGGATGAGGTTGGGTCCCTTTAATGGACTCCAAGTATCAGGGGTGAAGATGAGAGGCCCCCCTACAGCCTAAATCTCCCCTGTTACTCAGAGTGGACCCTCCATTACACTGGGTGAGGATCTGGCCTCCAGAGGTCAGCCTTGTTTGTTTCAACATGTTTGCTTCCTGAGAATTCCATTTTGTGGGGGGACATGCCTTGTAAGACAGAGGGAAGGCAGCCCTCGGCCCCACCTTACACACAGACCTTTGAATGTTGCTTTGCAGAAGACTATGAAATTATGATTTCTGGAAAAGGATTTAATAATGCAATAAACAAGGAGGAAGTTATTTGTAGATTCCGCTTCAGCGATGATAAATTCTTCGGTAAGTAGCTCTCTTGGTGCCTCCAAGTGACAAACTCCCTACAACAGGCTGCCTTCCCCTCAGCCAGCCAAGTTTTCAAAGCCCTTGCTTACCATTCACTGTGGGTCCTGTGAGGATAGATCAAGTAAAAGGAGAGACCCGGCTGGGAAGCCTGGTGACCTATACCTCAAAGCTGGGAAGTCATCAACCACAAGAGCCTCTCCTAGCAGGGCTTTAACCCTTGCCAAGAATGGCTGTGGTGTGCTGGGTGTGCCCCAGAGCTGTA